AGAGGAAATAGCTGAGAACTTTTTATGAAGTAAAATGTACTCTTGCATTGTAATTTGGAGAACAGCTGAAGTGACACAGGGGAACAGGAGGCATACATTAATCAGAGAAGAGCTGTGTAAATAGTGCACGTTGTATGTGCCTGAGTGTTGATAGTGCTTTATGAGCCTACCACAGAGGCAGTGGTCAGATGGGTGGCCCAGGAGCCACCAAAAATGAATAAGGTGGCTGGGGCAAATTGAAAGTCAAGAAGTTTCTCACATTTACCAACTTAACCAATCCATGTAAACTCCCTAGCAACGAAACAGTGAGTGAAACTATTACCACAGCAAGTTTCAGGTTGACTTGCTAAAGACATGCCTGGCAAACAAGGCAGTTGCAGAAGTCATTTCATATATCTCCACATGTTGGTGTTTGAACAGAAGTATACAAGATTCTTGTGGTGGGGCAGTTATGAGAGATTGTACCCCTGCAAAGAGTCTCGCCAAAATAAGATTTTAGCCTGACGATATGGACAGGAGTGTTGTCCTTATTCCTTACCCCTTTGCAGCAAASCATGTGTCTCCTCTTTCAGGTGACAGACAGGTGTCCAGAAGGCAGATCTCACTGCGTGAACAAGATGGGGGGGTGTTTGCCTTCACTAATTTGTCTGCTTATCAAGTTATTATCAACCACTGGGTCCTATGCTTTGCCATGGTTTAATGGTCTTCATGCCAACCTCTCTCCAGTGATGTGTTATTAAAAGTGCAAATCACRAAACCATCAGAGCAGGGACCACAACATGTACTAGAACTGTGACAGTTCACACTTCATAATTAAATTGACAGCAAGATTAAATAAGGGCTTCTTTTAGAAAATGAAAATTACAAGTACAGCTTGGTAAAAGGTAATCTCCCTTTTACTAGAAAAGACCTGAAACATGAATTAYTGTGTTTGTACTGGAGAAGATCCAATTGAATGTTGATGATGTAATATGTGAACATTGGATGGAAATAAGATGATTTACATTTATTATATGCCATGCCATGTAAAGATTATCTAAAATATATTTTCTATGTCATGATTTTAAAACAGATCTTATCATGTCAGGGAAAATATAGAAAAAGAAAAGATTTTTGTGAACACTGGGTGTGTGAATCTGTATTAACTTAAATGCTTACCGCTTATGATGATATAGAAAACAAACTGTTTATTCTCAAGATAAGCTTAAAGTGTGAATTATTTTGAATCTTCTTTAATAAAATCAGTACTTCCAAAGAACTTAACTTAAAAAATTAGGATTTTCTAAAACAACCAACAATCCTTTTTGGGCTTCTTTTTAGCTAGTTGCTCCTACTTAGATGAGACTAGGATGTGCTCTAAAAGTGTTAAAACTACATATGTTTTGAATGGTAATTAATTTCTAATAGCACCTATGAATCATGGTATTTATATTCCTGATCCAAAAGAAAACAAAGAGGTCACAGAGGCAAAGTACCAACCATATCTGTAGATATATGCCATAATACAGAGAAACAAAATATGGGGGGTTTTGCCCTAATGCTTGTGTTTTTCATGCTCTGTTTTTCTAACTCAGAGTGCTTCAGATCAGGGTCTCAGTATCTGATTGTGGAACAGCTCCATGAAGAGAGATTGTGAGCAATGCTTCCCAGACTAGTTGAGAGCCTGTGGGGCAGAACACTCATTTGGMTAATGAGATAATATCACCATCAGATCTTAAATAGGAGTCTCCAACATCAGAGTCTTTGCCACCACATTTCTTGCTATTAAATTGTTGTGGTCTGTTTGGTGTTTTCCTGAACATATTAAAACTTTTCATCCTCAAGAACTAACGTGATCTTAATGATATGATTAATTTGACAGCATTTCCAGATTCTTAAAAAAAMCCCTCCAAAACAGCTCAATTAACTCTAGGCTAGTTCAGAAATATATCACACTTTGCCATCGTAAATAAATTTGATTGGCAGTACATACACGTGTCCTTTGTTCACCATCATAATTCTGTTATCCAGTTAAAAATTAGACATTGCAAAGCATGAAATAGGTTTTAAAAATATGTAAAAATGAAAAATTTAAGTTCTTTTAATCTTGACCATGCAATTGCATCACATTTTTAAGCTTTAACTTTTATACAAGTGATAGCTTGAAACGTACTTGATTTTTATTAATGAAAGGAGGGATTTGCTTCTATTGCTCTGTCTCAAGAAATTGTGGCTCTAAGTTAGCATGATGGCTCATYAGAACATTGAGATAGTGATATTGCTTCAACAAAATTGCATAAATTAATGTGTAGCGGTCTCTTTATGTTACACTGTCATGATGTCATTGGGAAATTCTTCAGTGAAATTGATTCAAATGAGTATTTCTTAATAARAGCTGGTTTTTATCTTTTTGAAAATATTTATTTTATTGTGGAAATTAAAGTTTTGACTGTTGCAAATTTTGGTATCACCACGCCAATGTAGATATAGATGATACCCAGGAAAAAAGCAATTTTAACTCTCCATGTAAAGTGATGGTCTCTGAACTGAACGTTACCACTTAGGAATGAGATCTCAGAATTTTAATAAATAGTTCTTATGAAACCACCAATTTAATGCTCAGCAGCAATAAAAATGTAAATTGAATGTTAGGAATTATGAGCAAAGAAATAGAGAACAAAAGAAACTGCATAAATCCCTACAGAGTTCATGTCCCCTCTTCTTAAAAATGTAGTGGAGAATGGGAAAGTTCAGAGAAAGGAAACAAGAGAAGTATGGAAATGCCTTCACACAGAGAGACTTACAGGTCTTTTAAGTTTTGCAGAAAATTAATATGGAGACTACTGCTCCTTACCTCTAAGTGTCTGTGAGCCCTGCATGTAAGCAGTTCAAAGCTACCTTATGTTTTTCCTTATGCAGTGCATATTTGGGTGCAGAATTTGTTGGTGAATGCTATGTCTGCTATGAGTTAGTAGAGGCTAAAAAACTACACAAAAAAACACCATGAAAGAAGATTCCCATCATGAAAAACTAAACACAAAGACATTAGTGCTGGCACAGGAGATCCCAAGCACATCTTCTGGGAAAGCCATCACTGTGTTTTCATYCCTTCCCTAGACATCTGCTGTTGATTACTAAGGCTGGCTCCTGGGCCAGGTAGACYTTTGGTCTGAGTAGGATCACTCCTATGGTGTGCAGCAGCACCAGAATTTATCMGTAGATGAGCTGGGCTGTTTAGGGAGTTTTACTGAGAGCAGATGGYACTTCTTGAATTTGAAGAGTTTATGACTGTTGGATAAGCTTATGTGTTCWGATGTCGATGCTTGATACGAGCTACATCTAAAAAATTCAGGATGAAATGAAARGAAGAATCTGTGCTTCTCAGGAGTGTTGCTTCAGGCTGGCTGAACAGAAAACAACWAGGGGCATGGGCAAGAAAATGATGTGAATAAACCTCTCTGTAATAGATGACTGCTGGCTTCAAACTCTCTTGTAGCCTGTGATGAGTGGATGTGATTTAAACTCCCTGCTTCAAACTTGATAATCATGGGCTTTGAAAGAGTGCATAAAGAGTAATGCCTACACCACAGTCGCTTGCTATGAAATGTAAACAAATGCTGCCTTTTACTTGCCATCTGATAAGGCTGATGCAGATAGATGCTTGTTTCTCACACCATCCTCTTTAGGTGGGTGAGAAAGGCCGAGGGCATGGAACACAGCCACACTGCAGAGCCTGGAGGCCAGTTAATGTGCCTGAGCCTACGACCTGTCAGTGTAGGCATAACCAGAGTGCCTTTTTAGTGTCTTTTTTGCCCCCTTTTATCCAACTAACAAGAAGAAGTATAAGTGTAGACTGGCTTATTTTGCAGAAAAGCAATAACTGTGATTCTGGTTTATATTAGAGCAGCTTGAAAAGCTSCCCTGCCCTGGCAGCCCTCTAAACTTTATGGCCAAACTTGGATCACATGTGTTCAAGCTTATATCACATATAACTACACAAACACTTGCTCACTTGAAATAAGCCCCTGGCCTGCTGGGCACAGTCATATCAGTATTTGCCTAAGTTCAACATTTATGTTCCTTAAGAAATGCTATCACTTAATTTTTGCTTTTTCTCAAATTTAAACAAAACTTTGAAATTTCAAAATTTACTGTGAAATGACATTTGGGAATTGCTTTACTTGAAGTCATCAAAAGAACTCTTTATCAAAGGCTTCAATGAAATCAAACCAGTTTGTTTTGCCTTTATTATTCCAACTTTCAAGTGATAACATATTTGAAACATAGTATATAGTGATTTAAGTGATGAGGTCCAAATGAAATTATGTAACCTTTTAGAAGTAAAACCAAATAATTTTCTTTAATTTTTTTGATGAACTCAATACATTTCTRCAGATCATTGAGTCAGCACTTGCTAATGAAAAGCAGTTCTTCTGGAACTGCTTCAAACAGTCCTCGCAGGGTATAAGACTTTTAACATTCCAGACTGTAGATAAAAGCCCTCCTCCTCCTCCTCCTAAAAAAAAAAAAAAAAAAAAAAGAAAAAAAAGAAGAAATAAAAGAAAAAAGCCTTTAACTCTAAAAAGCAAAATTGCTCAAACTAAACAAATGTTTATGTTTTGTGCCTGCATGTCACACATGAGTGCCTGTGAATATAGTCTAACACATTTGACAGTTCTGCTGGTCTGATTTAGTACTTAATTCTGCTTTTTTTTTTTTATCCCTCAATTTTTTGCACAATATCTGCTTTCATCCTTACTTATTAATACTGGCTAGAGACTGTGTTATATTCCATTCCATAAGCAATGTTCATAGGAGCATTTTGAAGTTAAAACAATTTTCCAGCATCAATTTTATACTCTGCTGTATTATAAGAACTCTTTCATCTTTGTTTTTAAATGCTATTTTGAAAACCACAGATACTCAGGCTTCATACCTTGCTCACCGAAGGAACAAAGACTGAACAGTGCTTGGCTCCAAGTGTCAATCAGGACCTAACAAGTTAAACAGCAGTCAACACATTGGCAGATGAGTAACACCGAGTGGTTWCTAAGCAGTGCCGAGTGCTATTTGTCCTAGTCTACCTCAGCAGCTTAATGTGTTTACTTATTCATCTGCATCTGTTAGGGTGTAGCCAATGTCAGGAGTGGGTAATTTTCCCARTAGAGGCAAGGTTTTGGGGCTTGTCTTACAAAACCATCCAGACCTGGAGGWTATTACTGTGATTAAACTAATTGATTTCAATAGGTGCTAATCATGCAGGCTCTGGCAATGCAYGATGATGAAAAACTTCAGCGTGCCCTGTCCCTTGGACAACAAATGGGTATCACACTTCACCCAAATTCTCCTATCAAAATGAGATTTTTTGCATCACAATTTGGATATGTGTTTGGTTTTCCTGTAGCTGTACCCATGCTGGGTGGATTCACTTTACCAGCCTCAGTTTCCCACTAGGGAATACCCTGTRGATAATTTAAGTTCTCATGGGTGTAAGGAGATGTTACAATTTAACGCCTATTACAGGATCTGATTAAGCAAATGGAAATGACCTAACAAGTTGTCCCACATGTCTGCTTAAACACTTAGTGCAGTGGTAGCATTTACCGYGCCCTGACTCGTAGGTCTGGCTGGGGAGGTGGTGGTTTGCTGTTTCGTGCTTGGTCTTTCATTGAGGTGGGTCTGAAAGCAGACAGATTCCACTCCTCCCTTCTTCGTGCCACCAGCAAGGAGTGRGTGAGCAAAGGATGTGACAAGGAGCACCATGGATGGACTGGTAAGGAGCCAGGGATCCCAGCAGGCTGTAAAGGAAGGGGCATAGGGAGTGGGGCAGGACACAAACCCAGCCCACTTGCTCCATGCACTTACTGGTGCTCATCTGCTCCATGTTCTCACCCTGAGTTTTTTTTTTAACCTCTGAAAGACATTGGGAGCATCCCCAGGACCATCTCACGGGCTTTCCTCCCTGCCCATCTTCTGTGGAAACAAGCCACTTGCTGCTTGTCCCCGGGTCCTGTGTCTTATATGTTGACTATAAATTTTATTTAAATGACTTTGGATGAATTGGGATTTTCACTCATGTGTGTGTGGGGGAAGAGGCTCCCCAGAGATGCTGTATCTCAGGAAAACTCTCAAGAACATAATGTAGCATTGCTGCTGCCTCTCATTTGGAATAAACACAGTTTTCATTTCAGTCTGTGCTGCCAGATGAAGGATGCAATAAGCCTGATTAAATTTCCATGATTTATATATCTGCGGCACATTGAGTCCATAATTAAGACAATGGGGGACAGAGGCCCCAGCTGTGATGTACAAACAGAGACCTTCACATGTCAGACAAGAGAGGGATGTGTGAGAGAATACAAGTTAAGACTGATACAGTATTGATCAGTRTATTGGGTGTTAGCCTGTATTAGTATCTTCAGACATCTTTTGGARCCACATCAGAAGAAAAGAGGATTAAGGTGAGTTCTCCAGTAACTTAAATTTGATTACTGAATTAAAGAGAGATGTTAAACAAGAGTCTATTGGGAGAAAGTGGATTTAAATATAGGTGCCTATGGTGGAGGCTGGTGTCGTGAATATGGAAAAAAGATAGTGGGGCCATGGTGAGGACGTGCAGGTACCTCCGTGGAAAACTGCAGGAGGAATCAGGAAGATCCTCTCACTGACCCACTTAGGGAAGAGGAAGGAGGAAATGACCAAGCCAGGTAAATGAGGGCAGGATTTCATGATGAACAAGAAAGCTAATTGTGTTGAATGCAGCGGATAGATCACAGAGGATGGGGAAACAGCAATGCCCAGTTTTGACTGAACGCAGTTCTGGGAGAGAGTAATTTGAAAGGGATGAGGGCAGGAAGCTCATTTACATATAACAGATGTGYACCAGATTGCAAACAAAATATATGAATATCTGTAAGGTAAATTTGTACACAATGCGCTATAACCTTGGGATAAGCAAAAGAAAGAATGTAGGAATTTACAAGTTAGAGTATGGCTACTCTGTAAACTTGTTTCATACTGTGTTGTTGTAAGTACCTGTCTCACAGCAACTGAATTATCAAAGCACCAAATGAATCTGTCCCAGTCCCACAGTAACAGGCATCTTCGTTTCTACCCCTGCTCGTCGTGGGTGGCCATGGCTTTCACATCAGAAATCCCTTACTCCTGGACTCTGTCAGCAGTTTTAAGAGTGAGAAGATGCGCGATCCTATCCCTGACAGATAGTGAGACCCACAGTAATTGGAAATAAATGGAAAAACCAGACATGGATGTAAAAATTAAGTAGGCTTAAGATGAATACTTCTTTTCAACAGTTGAAGAGGAGCTCAGAGTGACCAGATAGCATCTGCTGAGAAATAGAAGGATTTCTTCTGGGTTTTAGGAGGGGCAAAAATCTACAAAGCAATGGTGAGCTGTTGTGCACCCCAGTTCACAAGACAGAGGGGGGAAAAAGCCGTACTGTATTTTCTCTGACACATCTTGGGATACAAATGGACAGGCAGTTTGGCCATGAGGGACTCCATGKTTGGAGCCAAGCACAGCTGTGTTGTCATCTTTCAGGTGTGAATAGCCCAGCTGCATTTTGTGTGCCCAGCAGGCTTCTCCTGAAGGGTGCAGGGCAGGTGCATCCCTTCCCATGGCCAGGCTCGTGATGCCAGGTGCTGTGCAGCCCTAAAGCTCTATGGTGGGGTGAGTGACAGCTGTCCTAGTTGCCAGGAGTCCACAGAAGGGAATGAGGATCAATTAACAGTGTGGTAGCAAGGTATGGGCCACACAACACCTCCTGTGACAGGATGCCTTTCATGCTGATGCTCAGTAACCCCACTCAGATGTCCCCAGTGCATCTGTGATGACAGCAGCATCCTAGACTAGCCCAGCTGATTCAGGCTTTTCTCTCCTGGGGTATTTGTCCAGGCTGGTAACAGGAGTTGGGAGCACTTGTGCTCTTGGTGTCCTGTCCTCCTGGCTCCTCTGCCCCAGCTGGAGAAGTGGGTGAGCACTGCTTCAAGGATGCCAACAGGCCAAGCACCTTTGTGTAGGGCTTTCAGAGGCGCTGCTGGAAACACGACAATGCGAGGGATGAAAGGACAGCAGGGACCTCACCCCTGTCTCCTTGGGGCCAGGCCATCCCGCGGCCGAGCTGTTGCTGTSTTACTGGGGACAGTGGCCGTGGCAGAGAGATGGTGGCCATTTCCCCTCCTGGTGAGCACAGCATGGTGAGAGCGATGAGTTCCRTCCCCACCTCTCTGCTGCGAGCAGCACACACACCCCTCCTCGTTCATTACCATCTCCTTACCTCCACACCTGTTTGATATTACATATTCCGTTTGGAAATACTGTCCTTTTTGTCCTCTTTCCCACCATCTGTTGACACAATCCCGTGTGTGTGCCTGGGTAAGATCCAGCTGGCACACGCAGGAGGGGTGAGCGCATTGACGCCTCCCGAAATTGCTGATTCAGGGAGGGGAGGCGGGGGACCCGCAGCCGCCCCGGAGCCCCGCACCCCGATAGCGCCGCAGCTGAGCAGCCCCCGGTCTCTCTCCGTGCTAGTGCCAGGCTTATCAATGCACAGCCATCCTTTCACCCCCGCCTGCCCTCCCCGCGGCCCCGACGTGCCTGTTGTAATCAGGGGAACAATGGCAGAGGCAGAGTGCCCGGCACAAAGACAACAGCTGCACTCCCGGGTCAGGCTTTGCAGCCTCCCCGCACAATGGCGATGTGTAACCCCATCCCACTGCCCGCCTCGGAATAATTTATTTATAGATGCAATATCTCTTTCACTGGCCTATTTAAGAATGTCTCCTCATAAATGCATGGAAATTGAAATTATTCTCTGCTTCTCCCCCAAAAGATTAAGGTATCTGTTCTGTACAGATAAATAGCGCAATTTTGGAGGGGAAGAGGGAGAAAAGCTGCTGGAATATATGCAATAAAGGATGAGTAAAAGTTGATTAATTGTGGTGTGTGCGTTTTTAACAATTAAATGTATTTCATTATTAGCATCTTTGCAATAATAAGCACATGTTTAAAAATAAGAAAGAAATATTGAAGTAAGGAAAAAAAGCCCTCCTAGGAATAAATGCTAGTCTTTCCTCTMTGAGGGATGACTGCTTGCCTCTTTGGTAATAAAACCTCTTTCACCCTCACAAGCTGTAAGCATCTGCTTAGGACAGAGAATTTTCTACCATCCAGGAGACCGTGAATCATCTCTCACATGAAAATATGGTCGGTTCAGCATGCTGCTTGCTTCTCTTAAATACAGCSTGTGCAGCTTACATATCATCTAAATGTTTAGTGTAACACACGATCAGAAATGAGGACAATCTCTGAGATGTCTAAAAAGAACTAAAACTGGAAAGTTTCCTCTGATGACTTCCTATAGTCAGTAGTTTCAATACACCATATATTTTTTAATAATATCTCTTTCATTAATTTTTTTTCTTTTTTTTTTCCTTTTTTAATTACACCGAAGTTTAATTTTATTTGTCTAAATCCTGATCTACAAAAGCAAACAAGCAGTAGCTTAGTGACAGCACTTTGCTGTGTTAAAGAGGTGGCTTTAGGGATCCTGAACCTGCAGCGCTTCATCCATCCACATTTTRTGTGTGTGTGAACATATCTGTGTAAGGAAAGCATGACAAGATAGTCTCCAATTAGGAAAAAGCTCTGGTGTCRCTAAACACTCTCCAGACACCTCCATCAGATTTAAAAACCAACTAAAAGSTCTACATGATATGAAACACATTTTATCGGGCACTCTGGAAGGAWTTTTTTTTAAATTTAAAAACACCATATATAACATTATCACTGGTTCTGTATAAAGTGTGCTGGCAAAATGCATGGCCTCTTTATATCATCCTGTCTCCCATCTCCTGCAGTCCACAGGAAAAGCCTCATGACTGGCAGCTGTTTSACTGCCCCATTATCTGAGCCTGCGTCCAGTCTGGCTAATTACAGTCACTGATTACTAAACACTGAGCAGCACTGTCACCTGCCTTAGCCTGACAGGATTATACCATCTGTGCCACATGGCCAGGGTATGGAAAGCTGGTGAAAGGTCACAAAAAGGGGCAAATAACCCTTAATGGGAGGTAAATGTATGTTTACAGACGTGACAGCTGACTGTCATTAGAGTATATATACGTATTCACAGCTGAAGATACTTCTCAGGGAAGAATAAGGGGCATTCGAAGTGTGGCTTTGTCAGACAGTTGGGTTTTTTTTCTGTCCCCAAAATAGGTGCTATTCACTGGGAAGAGACTAAATACACTTCTGGCAGACTCGCTGGACTAACACAGGCCCAAATGTTTTCCCTCCTTACCTCCCCAGACCTCCTCTGCACAGCAGCAGCAGCTTTGAAAACCCGATCGAGTGAAGCCKGTGCAAGCCATTGTGCAGGTGAACTGTCTGCTCTAAAGGAGAGGGTTGGATCTGCCCTGTTTGTGTTTGCAAAGCACCAGAATTAACTCCACTGGGCATTGAGGACCGGGCTGTTCTCAGGGAGCAGTGCAGGAGCCACAAGCAGGGGGTCCCCCCTTGCCAATTCCCTTCTCCAGTGCAAGTCTTCCTCCTACCTGCAGTGCCATGGACACCACTCCTTCCTATGCTTCTTCTCTCAACAACACCTACACGCTTGTACCTGCCCTCTGCTCTGCCCAAGCCTCTCCTAGGGCTGTTSCTTTTCTTCCCCTGCATTCTAGATGGCCTTGCCCTTTTTCTYAAGTATGTGTGACAATGCACCCTTATCACAGAAAGCTTCAGGTATTACCTCTT